GTCACATAAGAAACATGCCTAAAGGACCTCCCTCCATAGCATATCAAAACAAGACACTTAGAGATGACGGGTCCTACAGTACAAGTGCTCTGTAGGTTATGGTCAGTCACTTAGATGCATGTGTTTGCTCTCCTGATAGAATGCTTACACTTTGAGGGGGAGCATTCCACAGAACTATAGTAGTTGCTTCACAGAATTTTCGAGGAGCAGGTCACAAAGTTTTGGGAGGCAAAGAGCTAGCAAGGACTCTAGCTTGAATTTCTTCTGTTACCTTTGCCAAGCCAGCTGTACTTTTGGTACCTCAGTCACTTAATCTCTAAAACAAGGAGTTGAATCAGCCCAGATTTTTTTCACTAATACTATTATTTTTTTAACTTCTGATGACTATATGATATAAGGGCAGAAATCAGAGATATTCCAAACCCCCTATCATAATACCTAGCACATTATAGTTTTCAGTATACATCAGTTGAGTTGAACTGGATTTTTTGGTGAAAATTCTGGATGAAATACTGATGTATAAGATAAATAAAAGCAGAGCTCCTTTTATCAGAGAGGGGTGGGCAGTATAACAAGGTATAGAGTCAAACCCCACGATCACTCCTTATCTCTATCTGTATTTCACCTTCCTGATGGGGCTTTATGGAAACCATAAGGCTTGAGGGAACACTTAAAAATCAAAGAATTTAATAAGCATATAATTTTCTCTGGCTCCACCCTTCTCTAATTCCTCTGCTATTTTGGAATCATGCATGAGGGTAATGTGAAAGGTCTTAAGGATGTAACATTATGCAATTGGATGAATGATCGGTTGGAATGGAGAACCACACAACAATTTTATATTTCTGAACAAATATTGTACATATGGATTTTATTATCTTTCTGTAGATATTTTCACTTACTCTAAGTTAGTGCGAGATGTGACTGAACAGGGACCTTTTTTTTTAAGCTGCTTTCTATAACAAACTGTTGAATTGTCTACCTGTAACTACACAATTGTGAGATTTTATAAACTGAGTGAATGACTGAATAAACTGGTTATTCTGATGCCGTAGTTGCTTTTGAAGTTCACTGAAATCATTTCATAACCAGAGCCTAAGAAATGTGGCTTTCTGACTTATTTTTGGTGAATGATTTTGCTAAAATTTAGTGAATGATCTAGCTGGTGGGAGAAAAAAGCTGTTAAGATCACTTTAGTCAAGAAATACAAGTATCTTAGGTTAATCAGAGTGATGTCAAATCTTTGAAAAGAATTTCAAGGTGATTTATCTCTTCTTCTTACCTCAACTTTTCTTTCCCCTTCCTTCCCATCCTTGTGTTAAATATTAATGAATATGAATGATTAATGCATTCACTTAATTATGAATAAAAACTATTGATCCTATGTAAGGTTGGTCTTCCAAACCAGAAATCTTAAAACTCATCCCTGTTTTTCTGAGCTGGGATGTATCATTCGTTTGCACTGACTGCATTTTCTGTTAAAGAGAGATAGAGGTGAACTGCCAACGCAGATTGAATTCTTGAATCCTCTGGTGATGAGGATACATGGCCAACTCCTGGCACTGCTGCCTAGATCGGCCTTCTGATTATCAACCAAACTGTCATGTCCTCCTGGCAAGGAAGGAAGAAAGCTCTCAAAGCAAAAACATTTAATTCAGCAACCCTTAATTGATCATTTCTGTGCTTGTTATACAGTGAAAGTTACAGTGACAGATTTAGAAGGGACCTGGGCATTTCCATCACAGAGGGTGAGGAGGGAGTCTTAATGAAGGAGAACTATTTGTCCAAAGTCCAGATAGTCTCATTTAGCTAGGAATGAAGTATACAATGAACAACATATCTTCAAGATGCTTAATAGCAACTCTTAGATCTGTAGACTGATAATTGAGAAATTGACAAGTGCAGAGAGCAGTAATGTGTAGACGCTAAAAAATCAAAGACAGTGTATCGTACAAATTAGCAATCAGTACTATAAAATGTATTGGAAAAGAAGAGGTAAAAGTGTCACTATATGTAGATGACATAATACTATATATAGAAAACCCTAAAAGGTCCACACAAAAACTATGAGAACTAATCAAAGAATTCAGCAAGGTAGCAGGTTACAAGATTAATGTACAAAAATCAGTTGTATTTCTTTACACTAATGGTGAGTCAACAAGAAAAGAAAGTAAAGAAACATCCTCTTTAAAATAGCACCCAAAGTAATAAAATACCTAGGAATAAATCTAACCAAGGAGGTGAAGGACTTATACATGGAAAACTATAAACCATTGATGAAGGAAATTAAAGAAGACTTTAAAAAATGGAAAGATATCCCATGCTCCTGGATTAGAAGAATCGTATTGTTAAAATGGTCACACTGCCCAAGGCAATCTACAGATTTAATGCAATCCCTATCAAATTACCCAGGACATATTTCACAGAACTAGAACAAATCATAATAAAATTTATATGGAACAACAAAAGACCTAGAATTGCCAAAGCATTACTGAAGAGAATGAAAGAGGCTGGAGGAATAACTCTCCCAGACTTCAGAAAATACTATAGAGCTACAGTCATCAAAACAGTATGGTATTGGTAGCAAAACAGACATATAGACCAATAGAACAGAATAGAGAGCCCAGAAATGAACCCACAAACTTTTGGTCAACTAACCTTCCACAAAGGAGGCAAGAAGATACAATGGAATAGACGGTCTCTTCAGAAAATGGTATTGGGAAAACTGGACAGCAGCATGTAAAACTATGAAGCTAGAACACTCCCTTACACCATACACAAAAATCAACCCAAAATGGATCAAAGACTTAAACATAAGACAAGATACAATAAACCTCCTAGAAAAAAATATAGGCAAAACATTATC